GTAATGAGTAGTGAGTGCTGAGTAGGGAGCAGGGAGAAGGGAGTAGTGAGAAGTTATCAGTGGATGGTGAGTAGTCGGTGGTGAGTAGTGAGTAGTGAGTAATGGGTAGTGGGTAGTGCGTAGTGAGTAGAGAGTCCTGAGTAGGGAGTAGGGAGTGGTGAGTACTAGGTAGTGAATAGTGAGTAGCGAGTGCGTAGTGAGTAGTGAGTAGTGGGTATGGGTAGTGAGTAGTGAGTAGAGTAGGGAGTAGGCAATAGTGAGTAGTGAGTAAGATGTAGCGAGCAGCGAACATTGAGTATTTAGTAGTGAGTAGTGAGTAGGGAGTAGTGAGTCGTGTGTAATGATATGTGAGTAGTGGGTAGCGAGTAGTGGGTAGTGAGTAGTGGGGAGGGGGAAGTGAATAGTGAGTAGTGGGTAGTGAGTAGTGAGTGGCGAGTAGTGAGTAGTGAGTGGTGAGTATTGAGTAGTGAGTAGTGACTAGTGATTGGGAAGTAGTGAGTAGTGATACGTGAGTGGCGAGTAGTGAGTATTGAGTCACGAGTAGGGAGTAGTTAGTAGGGAGTAGTGAGTAGTGTGTAGTGAATAGTGAGTAATGTGCCGGGAGTAGCGAGTACAGAGTAGTGTAGTGGACCGTGTTCAGGAAGTAGTGAGTAGTGAGTAGTGGGCAGTGAGTAGGACGTAGTGAGTAGCGAGCAGTGAGTAGTGAGTAGTGAGCAGGAAGCAGGAAGTAGTGAGTAGTGGGAAGTGGGTAGTGAGTAGTGAGAATCGTATAGTGCTTGGGGCTAGGGTTAGGGGTTGTGTTTAGGGGCTGTGTTAGGGTGACGATTATGGCCAGGAATGGTTGGGGGGAGGGCGGGTTTTGGAGTCGGGGGGCGGCGTGGCGAAAGGGGGAAGGGGGGTTGAATTTTGAGCCCAAGGGGGGGGGGTCCGAACCCCTCCCCCAACCCCTCCCCCCCCTTTTGAAAGGGGGGGGGGAGGGGTCCCCGACGACGGACCAGGAAAAGGGGGAGGAGGGCTTCCCAGACGAGGTCCGGGAAAGGGGGGGGGGGGTTCCCGACGACGGACCGGGGAAAGGGAGGGGGGGGAAGGGTTCCCCCCGTCCCCCTTGGGGAGATCCAGCGGCGCGCCCTCGGAGATTGGCTGCACTGGAGGCCCAGAAGTGAGAAGCAGATGGTCCACGCTGTGGTGAACGCCGCCTTGGGACAGGCAGGCTTATTACACCGCGCTGCGAGGATCCGTAGATGATCCGCGATGCTGCGGGGCAACGGGGCCCTATGGACCAGGTCTTACTCCGATGGCGGGCGGCGTAGTTATCAGAACGCAGCGTCGATGTGCTGCTGGCTGCAGAGAGGTGCTGGGCTTTGGTGGAATGGGGATGGTGAGTGGCTCCCTGCCGCGCAGCGGTGGCGATTGAAGTAAGTATTCACTGGGTCTGCGTGAACCTTGCGTGTTCTTGGTTCGCATATCTGCAGCATTCCAGCTTCGAGTGAAGATGACTGCTTGAGCTGGGCAGACTGGTGCGATCAACACCTCCTCGTACACGATACTCGACTTCAGCACATTTCCTGTTTTTGTTGTCTTGCTGCCGTCGCTGCATCTCGTTTTCGTCATCGACCATTTCCTCCTACTCCCTGCTCTCGCCCTCTAAGCTTTGGCAGTCCCAGTCGACCCTGCACCTGTGGCGTGGGCATGGGCGTGGGCCATTGTTCGGGGGCGGTAAAGAGGGGGGTGATGACTAGGGGGGAGTGGATATCATGGCGGGGGGCATGATATTTCCTCAGATCTCATGGCGCCTCTTCTTATTTCATCACGGCCCTGGCCCCCCCGCTGGGCCGCGCACATGCCGCCGGCCATGATTTGCACCCACCCCTCGTGGACACCCCCCTCTTTGCCGCTCCTGAGAAGAGCTGGGCCAGCGTTTCTTAGCCACCTTGCCAGAAAGCTGGCCCAGTTTCTTGAGCACGTTCGCCCCTCCAGCGTCAGCATCGGAATGTGGCCCAGGCTTGTCTTTTAAGACACTTCTGGGACGCTGGCCCCGATTTCTTAACCGATATTTCTCTTGATCATATTTCGGCTGTATACAGTCATGATTTGCACCCCCCCCTCTTGGACACCCCCCTCTTTGTCGCTCCCGAATGGTGCCGCGGTGGTCGGGTTGGAAATGCCCGAGGCGTTGACGCTCGGGAACTTCGGGAGTGTCTTCGAGAGGAGCAGCGGGCACCAGGCTTGCCTAGCGCCGTCCTGCGAAAGGGCGAAAGGGGCACTCTGCAGTGGCAGTGCGAAGCCTTCCGCTGTGCTGGCTGAGGCGTGGTGACGCGTGATGGGGCTGGGTTCCATGAGAACAAACGAGAAAGTCCCCGTCGACCCTGCAAAGAAGGCACCCCCGTCACCACCGCCTCGCCACGGAGGAGGAGGAGGAGGAGGAGGAGGAGGAGGAGGAGGAGGAGGAGGAGGAGGAGGAGGAGGAGGAGGAGGACGAGAAGGAGGAGGAGGAGGAGGAGGAGGCAGCTCCCGCCCCTCCGCGTGCGCGGTTGGCCGCGCGGGGCCCCGACGGCGCAGGCGCGGGAAGGACGGCGGTGCGCGGCCTCGGGGTGCAGCTCTCGCGGGGCCGCCTCGGCACGGGAACGGGCGCGGAGCCACCTTGGGCCCAGGGCGCCCTCGCGTGCGCGAAGTTATTCGCGCCTGGTGCTTCGCGGTTCGGCTCTGACTCCTCCTCCTCCTCCCCTTCTCCCCTGGGAGGCGGCGCGAGAGCGCGAAGTGATTCGCACTTCGCGCTCTCGCGCAGCGCGAAGCGCGAAGCTGGGGAGCCCTTGTTGGGCTCGGCCTCTCCTTGGTGGGGAGCCCGCAGCTCCACCCGATGCACGAATCTTGCGACGTCGTCGCCCTGGTAGGTTACGTGTTTGAGCTGCAGGGCATGCGCCGGGTGATTGCACTTCGAAGGGCTTTGCAGGGAATATCGGGCGCGGTACGGAAGTCGAGGGGAATTCGAATTCCCGAGCCTTTCCGACGTATTCCGTGGCACGAGGGGCAGGTCGCCCGCTCGCGCATTCCATCGGGTGGGGCAGGTGGGCCAGGAAGGCTTGCGAGACCGTCGAGGCAGGAGCTCAGCTGGGCAGCCGTGCCGCGACGCTATCCGCGGTTTCGGCCTGGATTGCGCCCGAGGGTACGCCCGACGGATGACGCCAGGCCTGGCAACGATGCACTCAGTGGAGGGAGCGCCAGGGAACAGTTCTTGCTCGTCCTCCTTGGGACCGCGCAGTCCTACCCTGGCCGCTTCGCGAGCAGTGCCGTCTCGACGCTCCGCCTGGCCTGCGCGACGAGCCGCCGACACGAGGGGCGCCCTCAAGAGAAGCCTCCACAGGCCAGTCGGCCTGTGTCCAGATCCGGGCGTGCGCGAGGACGCGGTCGTCCTCCGGTTGCGGGCTGCTGCGGTGCACCGCGGCGTCCTCGTCGAGCACAGTGTGTCCGCCTGCTGGCTCCCTGGGGCGTTTCCTGCCGCGAGGCAGATCTGCGAGCTGCAGCGCCGCTGCCGCCGCCATGCTGTCCCGGAGACAGGGCGCGGCTTGGCGCGTGCTGCACTCAACGAGTGCGACGGTTGAGAAGGCCGAGTGGATACATAATCGGAGGGCACCAACTATACACCAACACCGATCCTGGCCCAGGATCACCCTGGGCCCAGGATCGGTGTATATGCCTTCTTGCGCAAGGCAGGCGGGCGTATACACCGATCCTGGGCCCAGGGTGATCCTGGCCAGGATCGGTGTTGGTGTATAGTTGGTGCCTTCCTACATAGATCTCGCTCAGGGGGGTCCTTGCCACACCGTCTGCAAGGCAGGGCCCGGGGGCGCCCCAGGCGACTCCGCGGCCAGCACTGCTCGGCTGTGCGTCGTTATCATTGTATTTAGGCATGTCGCCGAAGGGTGTCTGAGGCAAGCGCGGAGGTTACGCGACGAAAAGCTTCAGAGGCAACAGGGGTTCCCCCCCCACACCCCACGTTCGCTGTCGGCATGGTCTTCGTCGTTGTCGCTTTCTCTTGCTTCGTTGATTGCAGCCACTCGCTTCTCTTACCGATACGTATGCAGTCTCACATTCTTCCCCCTTGTCCTCCCGAGTCCATCCCGTTCTCCTCCACATCCCCGTCCGCCCCCCATCCCCTCTTCTTCCGTAGAGTCCTCCTCCCCCTCCCTCCGTGGTGACGAGGGATCCCCGCTCCTCCTCCCCCTCCTCCTCCTCCTTCTCTCCTTCTCCTCCTCCACCTCCTCCACCTCCTCCACCTCCTCCTGATCCTCCACCTCCTCCTCCTCCTCCTCCTCCTCCTCCTCCTCCTCCTCCTCCTCCTCCATTGGGGAGGGGTCGGGACCCCAGGGTCCTCCTGGCGCAGGCGGAGAGCGCCGGGCCCGAGCGGCGAAAAGCCCCGCTCCCCTGGGACGGCCCCCATAAGCGGGGTCCCCTTCCCAGGGGGGGCTGCCAGGTCCCGGGGCCTCCCCCAGGGCGGCGCAGGGCTCCCCCCCTGCGTTCGCCGCCTTGGGGCGGGACTGGCGGTCCGTCCCCCCGTCGTGTCGTGTCGTTGTCGTCGCCGTGTCGTCGTCGTCGTGGGTCCCGGGGTCCGGGTCTTTTTTTGCCCTGCCCCTTGGGCGTGCGGGTGACCCCTCCGTTCGGCCTCCCCCTTCGTGGGGGCGGCTCCGTTCGGTTGGGGCCTCCCGCCTGCCCGTGGGGCGGGGCCTTGTTTCCCCGCATCACTGTCGGGCTCGCCCGCCGCCCGTGCTCTGCGGGGCGCCGCGGCCGCCGGCAGCGCGCGTTGTTCCGCGGACGCGCGGGGGCTGGAGCCTGCGGGAAAAAAAATCCCCCTCCTCCTCCTCCTCCTCCTCCTCCTCCTCCTCCTCCTCCTCCTCCTCCTCCTCCTCCCTCTCTCCCTTCTCCTCCTCCTCATTCCTCGTTGCTCCCCGCTCCAGCCGATGGCGAGCAGAGCCGTCCAGCGTCGAAGCCGCGAGCCCCGGCAGGACCGCAGGGGCGGCGCCGGCGGCGGCGAGGAGCTCACAGCCGAGGGGCTGTGGGAGGCCGCCCGGCCCGCTCTCCCTGGCAGTCCCGCCTCGTGCGCTCTGCCTCCTCCTCCTCCTCCTCCTCCTCCTCCTCCTCCTCCTCGTCCTCCCCCTCCTCGTCCTCCCCCTTCCCCTCTTATCCCCTCCCCCTCCCCCTCCCCATCCCACCCCCTCCTCCTCCCTTCCCCCTCCCCCCCCCTGCCCCTCCCGCAGAGAGGAATGATGACGTGGGGTAGGGATGACGTGCCAGAGAGTGATGACGAGGGGTAGGGCAGCGAGGAGGATGATGACGACGAAGAGGACGAGAGGGATGACGCGGATGACGCTGAGGATGCTGCTGATGACGTTGTTGATGATGCTGACAATGATGGTGACGATGATGATGACGATGATGATGATGAGGATGATGATGACGATTATTCTGATGATGGTGGTGGTGATGCGGATGCTGCTGATGATGATGATGATGATGATGATGATGATGATGATGGCGACGAGGAGGACGACCACGACCTCGACGACCACGATGCTGATGGAGATGATGGGGATGAGGATGAGGATGATGATGGTAGTGATGATGATGATGATGATGATGATGATGATGATGATGATGATGATGATGATGATGATGATGATGATGATGATAATGATGATGGTGGTAACACTGATGTACATTATGATGATGCTGACGATGATGATGCTGATGATGATGATGAACATGATGATGAAGGTAATGACGCTGATGAGTACGAAAATAATGATCAGTATGACGATGCTGAGGCAACTGATGATACTAATGATGACATAGCAGGTTATCATGATGACCATGGTGAGTGAGTTTCATGCTCATGCTGATGAACATGATGATGATGCTGCTGGTGATGGTGATGCTGCTTATGATGATGATGATGGTGGTGATGAGGATGTTGGTGCTGATTTGTATATTGTGTCTGGTGTTGGCGAGGATGGTGATGCTGTTTTCAGGATGACGATGATGAGGCTGATGTTGTTGCTGATGCTCATGCTGCTGATGCTGATGATTCTGATGATGATGATGATGATGATGATGATGAGGATGAGGATGATGATGATGATGATGATGATGATGATGATGATGATGATGATGATGATGATGGTGATTCTGATGTTGATGATGTGGATTCTGCTGCTGATGATAATTCTGTTGACTATGGTGATGATGCTGCTGCTGCTGCTGCTGCTGATGATGATGATGATGATGATGATGATGGTTGTGGTGGTGGTGGTGGTGGTGGCTGTGGTGGTGGTGGTGGTGGTGGTGTGGTGATGGGGATGCTGCTGCTGCTGAGGAGGAGGAGGAGGCGGAGGCGGAGGAGGAGGCGCGCGCATTTCTTGCCACGAGGCGTGCTTGGTCGAAGCCGTCTGTGTCTCAAGGTGCCTCTTCGCTTCTAGTGGCGCAGGCGCGGATTGGCGGGTGCGGACGGGCGCTCCGATCCCGCGCTTGCTGCGGCAGTGGAGCTGCTGCTGTCGCCACGGGCGGCGGCAGACGAGCCGCCCACCAAGGCTCAGCGGCTGCGAGAGTCTGCAACCAGAGTGAGCGGCACCGCTGCCTCTGGCGAGCGCCACCACCAGGATTGGGCGCTGACGGAACTCGTACAAAACTCATGGTGGCGAAAACGGGTAAACGCGTGGATTTCGACGCCTCCGACAATGCCAGCGAGGCGGGCAGTGTGTCGCGAGACGCGATGTTGGTCGAGGAGTCGTGAGAGTCCGTCGACATCAGCAGCGCAGCTGGGGAGGCGGGCAGCCCCCCCCCTGCCAGCGTGAGCCGCGCGTTAGAGGCCCCGTCCGCAGTTGCAGTGCTCCTGGCCTTTGCCGTGGGCTCCACACCGCAGCCCAGGTTGCCTGGGCGCGCGTGCGGGCTGCCTCTGCCGTGCTGCGACGCACGCAGTGCAGTGGGCTTCTGTGGGCTGGCCCCTG